TGGCGGTAGCAATCACTGCAGACAGCGCCACGCTCCTGGATGACATGGAGGCATACCTGGTCCAGGCGGGAAGTGCTGCTAATTAACAGATTCCACGCTGTAGGTATATTCTAATCTAATGGAATATAATATGATATAATCTGATATACTATAATAGAGGTTTTTTTGAATCCTAGACCCTGAATGCGGAATCTTCGACCTGAAGCCTTTGCTGGCTACCTAGATTGCGGCTATGGGGATGTATATTCTGTTGCAAACCTACTTGGAGGTTCATGGGTAGTTATAAATAGGGTTATAAGTAGGATAACTATACTGATAACCCATATTAGGGGACTTATATCCCTACTTATAACTACCCATGAACCTCCAAGTAGAGACATCGTCTCTTCTGCTCCATGGACTTCAAAATGGGCTTCTCGACCATATCTCGTATCACATGGCACGACAACTCCAGAGGCAAACCAATGCTGAAGTATTGCACAAACTCAAGCAAGAGCTACACCATCCCCGAGTCCCATCAGTCCTCCTGGTCCCTCCAACATGATTACCGGTTTAGGGCTTATCAGGGTTCAATTGTGGGGGTTCTTGAAATCAAGACAATACCACATGTGGGGTTCTGCAATTCCATCCCAAGCCCTAAACGAAACCCTAAACCCTAAACAATAAACCTACACCTCGTTCAATCTCCAGGTCGCATCTAGGTGTAGCCACTGGACATGTTGAGCTATGCTTCATGGCCTTGAAGTTGAAGAGCAGCTTTGGGACCGGCAAGCTGCAACCCTTTGGGGTTTAGGGTTTAGGGTTTAGGGTTTAGGGTTTAGGAGGCCTGAAGGTTTAGAGTTTAAGAACTGCAACCCACCTGTCTCCCATTTTGGGGGGTTTCTTCGCTCTGTTCTACAGGTTCCTGTACACGAAAATTGGCCAGCAAGAAGGAACACACATCGGAGACACCCCAGAGTCGACCTTGGACCACTTGGGTGAGGGAATTTGACACAAGGTGTGATGTAGGAGCCTAAAAAAACTGCCTTTACTATTTTTTTTTTTGGGGGGGGTCCTTATTATAATTACAGTATACTGGGCCCCAAAACCCTATTCTAATTATTAAGGCCCCTACATTCTGGAGCAGCGTTTGGGGGGCCCAGGTTTGGGGCTTTGTGTGTTCATGGCGCAGGGCTGTTCGGCGTGGAGGATTTGCACAGTTTGTCAGCTGCAATAGAGAGAGAGAGGGAGAGAGAGAGATCGGAGTAATCATGAATAGCATTATCGACTTTCAGTTCCAATTCTTCAGGCCCCTACTTGGAGGTTCATGGGTAGTTATAAGTAGGGTCCTGAGTAGGATAAGTATACTTTTATAACCCATATTAGGGGACTTATAACCCTACGGATAACTACCCATGAACCTCCACGTATGACTCCTTATAGAACCCCCTTATAGAACCCCCTTATAGATCCCTTGAAGGAGCCTTATAACTACCCATGAACCTCCAAGTACAGTAGCTCCTTATTACAATATTCAGGTCCCTAAACCCTACACTTTAAACCCCTAAACCCTAAACCCTACACTTTAAACCCCTAAACCCTAAACCCTACACTTTAAACCCCTAAACCCTAAACCCCTACACTTTACACCCCTGAACCCTAAACCCCTATAGTAGCTCGACGCAGGATCTGCAGCAGCTGGGAGAGTCGGGCCCCCAAGTAGGCCCTGGCTCGCCTCGTCATGGGAACAGGGCTTAGGGCTTCGGGTTTCGAGCTTCGGGTTTAGGGTTTAGGGTCTAGGGTTTGGAGTTTTAGGGTCTAGGGTCTCGGGTTTCAGGTTTAGGGTTTAGGGTCCAGGGTGGAACACTGCGATTTAGGATGAGGTGGTCTGAAAAAATAGTTCTCAATATGCTTAAAGTTTTAAAGTCTTATACATCAGTCTACTTATTCAAGACTCTCCGGTGCGGAGTCTTTGGGCTCACTGTAGTGTTTAGGGACCAAAGCACAAAGGTACAGGGTGCAAGGGCTTTGGACTTACTGTAGGTGCCTAGATAATTACTTATGCTATTTTGGTGGATTCCTTATAATTATACTATAAGGGGCCCCAAAACCCTATTCTAAGCATTAGGGCGCCTACATTCGTGACCTTGGTTCTGGAAGTGGCTGCATATATCAGGGCCATGGCTGACTTAGATTCCGTACCTAAGACGCCTTCTCCAAAGCTCTAAGCCTAAGAACCCCAAAAGCACATAAGCATAAGCATTTACAGGGATATCCCTACCTTATTGGGCTTCTATATGGGATATCCCTATCCTAATTTTTGCTTATGTGCTTGTTTGGGGCCCTATAAGCAGAAGCCAGGCAAGACGAAGAGTTGAAAAGTCCCCCCCCCCCAAGCTCGAATCCTACAATACCCAAAACTAAACCCTAAACCCGGAACCCTAAAACCCTAAACCCTACACCGTAGGCCCCAAACCCTAAACCTCCGGACTTCCAAAATGCAAGCTTGACAAACCGCGGAAGCGGCGTCTTTGATCTTCGGGCTTCCTGAGAAGGTGTTCAATAGCCAAGTAGGAAAGCCAGATCCTTGAAAGGGGCCATCATGACGATCAGCACCCCCAGAAACCCTCGAACCGTGAACTCTAAACCCTCAACCCTATAGTAAACCCCAAAAAGTTGGAAACCGGATTACGGACAAGTAGTGCTGAGATTCCCTCACAGTACTGTCAAGGATGGAGAGGCTATTGGGTTTCCAACTCTTGGCCTTCTCTACCTTAAACTACAAAAAACCCTATTTTTGGTCGGTTCCTACTATAAACCCTATGCAATTTAGAGGGACCCCTATACCAAAAAACGAGGGTTTTGGTAGGTTAAGGTATTCTGTAAACTCTAAACCCTAAACCCTAAACCCTAAACCCTAAACCCTAAACCCTAAACTCCGAACCGAAGCCTCTCTAGGCACCGAGCCCTGCTCCTTGCTCCGACGGCCAAGGATTCGCATCCTGGCCCCCAGAGGCCAGAGCTTTAGGGGTTTAGGGTTTAGGGTTTAGGGGAGTTTCCTGTTTAGGGTTTAGGGTTTAAGGTTTAGGGTTTAGGGTTTAGGGATCCTGGCCCCCAGAAGCCAGTTTCCTGTGACCCTGATGTAGTGGATGTATGTAGTTCCTTTCTGCCGATAGGTATATATGTAGATATACAAGGGAGACGCGATCCTGTGACCCTTTCCTCAAGTCGGATGTTTATCGAAGAGAGCGTCATACCCGGTGCTAACTTCGGGGTTTGGGGTTTACTGGTACCCATCTAGGGCTTTCTTGAGCTGTCAATGCCAGGGATCTTAACATGCGAGGTTTTTTAGGTCTAGGGTCAGGGTCGCCATTTTACAGCCCTGGACACGAAACCCTGCTTCCTTGCCTAAGAAACTGCAATTCAGAAGGAAGTAAGACTGATCCAGGCACCTCGGCCGAAGTTGACCGAACCCGACCGCCCTTCGTCGACACCCCCTGGTGTATCTATCCGTCAGTCTGTCGATCAGCTATCTGTCCATCTTTCGTCTTATCAGTAATGCGGATGCAGGATAAAGCATCGTAAAACAATTTGGAACTGCCCACTAGAGAACTAGACAGAAACTCTCTGCACCCGCCCCGAGTTCCGCAAGACACCCCCGTCTTGTATTGTTTCTCGAAGATGCAAGACGTCCATTTCGGCCCCGCCACAGGACTGCTAGAGTCGATTCTTCGCGTGCGGTCGATTAGATTATTTCCGAAATATCTTCGCGTCGAATCCTATCAACCACGTCGACGAGCTTTGATTCGTGTCACAGAAGGCTACGAAGCCCCACAAGGTCGTCGAAGGCATTTCCTGTAGACGGCGTTTTCGCACGTGCGGCCGTGACCCCACATAGCATTGCCCCGATCTTTTGTCCGCAAAGATGTGCACCGAGCCATACTACAAGCAGACAACAGACTGAGGGACTTCAACCCCTCAAAATCTTTCCAAGTATGCTTCCTTTGAAATAAGCTACATCAAAGAGCATGAACCCCAAAACGCTGAATTTCTGATCCTAAAGCAAAGAACTCTGACATGCTGTTGGGGGGTACACTGTTCATGGGCTGGCTGGAAGCAGATCAAGCCCTAAACCCTAAATAAACCCCTAAGCTTAATCTTTGACGTGTAAAAAACCTTAACCCCTCAGCCAAGCTAAGTACCTCGTTCCTTTTCCTGCTAGTTTTTGGGGCAAAGGTATCCTAACCATAAAATTCATTAACGAAAAAGAGGGCCACATTGGAGACTAGCGGAGGGTTTCCAGACTGCACGCTACATCCTTCGCCGTTGGGGCCCCTGAGCTGATTCCCCACCCTCCCCCCTACAGCACATAATTACGCCTACTCTACATGGAAGCATGCATTTGATCCGCCGGCCCAACCCGCCCAATCCTAGCACCGTAAACTTGCCGTAAACCTTAAGGTCTTACACCTTAAAACCGCAAAACCCTCACTCCTACGCTCTAGCCATAAAACCCGAACCCTACACCCCAACCCCCACACCCCAACCCTCCTGCAGCCGAAGCCGTAAGCCCTGAACACTACCCAAATATGGGAGTCTCAGACAGCAGGGGACCGCAATGTAGAACCCTCAACAGTGGCACCAGCACGGTCAGTAGACATCCCAGAAAGCGCCCTTTGGTAAGGAACCCCCAATCTGCTAAAACCTCCTGTGCCATGGGATCTTGAGCAAATCGAAGCCTCGGTGGCCGTGTCGCAGCACTCAATGGAGGCCGCTGAGATGACACGAAGATAGGGTGTGGGGTTTGGGATTTCCAGTTTGTGGGTTTGGGTGTAGCTGTACTTTAAAAGCAGTGGAGCATTTAGGACAAGAGTTCGAGCCTACAAGCCCTCTTATGGATTGTGAACGACCCCTACAACACCGGAGGCAACCTCTCTAAAATAGGCTCCCTTCTTCAGGTCCTTGTTATAAGAGTGACGTACTACCTAAAGCACCTTAAACCCGAAGAATTCCATGACGAGGATGACGGCGAGGAGGAGCTCGTGGAGCCCCCGAAGAGGCATCCACCGTCATGTTTTTGTTTAGGGCTCAGGGTTTCGGATTTAGGGTTTACGGGCCCGTTTCAAGTCCCAAAAATCTTATAAAAAGGACCCCCAACAGAGACCCTATTTTAGAAAACTAGCGTGTTAGGGTTTCGGGTTTAGGGGTCTAGGCTTTGGGGTTTAGGGTTCAGGGTCTAGGGTCTTGGCTTTGGGGTTTGGGGTTTAAGTCAGGGTGTAAGGCTCAGGGCGCAGGGTTGTAAGGTGTCGGGTTCAGTGTGAAGGGCTTGAAGTTCAGGATCAGGGCCCTTGCTGTTAAACTCACGACAAAAATGCCGAATGCCATACACTCTCGAGCTTAGAGGTATATAGGGTCCTTAGAATTTTCGGTGGAAATAGGCTGTGAATAAGAAATGCTCAGTCTTTCAATAATCGCCGTCGCTTGGACACGTTGCTCCTTTATCTTTAGTGTTCAGGGTTGAATAAAACGGGTGACATATTTGTGTTTTAATAAATGTGCGAAAAGCTCCTCAGACATGTCGATGAGTGTACATTCGGGGTTGTATTCTGGAGATACTAGGAATCAAAGCCCTACACCAGAGGGTTTGGCGATTGCGGCTCAAGGTTGGGAAGTCTGCATATCCAACAGGCTGCTGCTGTTCCTAAAGCCACGGCTACACACCATCGGGGTGTTCTAAGTTCGGTCTTCTTTCCAGGTATGCATGGTTCTCCCAATCCCTTCAGGACGAACAAGCTCTTCACCGTGTGCTCCTTCATCCTTGTTGTGGAGATGTGCGAACGGTTGTGCTACTACACCCTGCAAGGCAGGATGGAAAAGGCGTTGTAAGTAATTCAGTTCAGGCTTACAAAGTTGTCCCAAAAAAGTAGCCCCTCGCTTCTGGCTGACTTGCGGCCCTGAATGTCCTTCTACGCAGGGCCTCTAAACCTTAAGGCGGCATTGTACCATGGTTTCGGGTTTTAGGGTTTAGGGTTTTAGGGGTGTGGGGTCTAGGGTTTAGGGTTTCAGGATTTGTCTGCAGGGTTCCAAGCCGTGAATCCTTGAAGAGGGTGCAGGTTATGTGGAAGCCTGGATACCTAGCAATGCGGTTCCGTGGGGTTGCTGATCAGTTATACATAACGACCGTAGAAGACCCTAAACCCTAAACCCTTAAAATGCCCGAACGCCCCACTCTTGCGATCCAGACCCCATGTTAAGCCCAGAGACCCAGGGAGCCCAAGATCAGATTCCCTGCCCGGAACCGGAAACGCCCCTTAATGGTCTTAGTTTGGGGGCCTTTAGCATTGGGAATTCAGGGGTTAGGGTTGGGGCTTCGAGGTTTGGGATCTTAGGTCTCGGCATGTAGGGTTCAGGGCTCCAGAGTATGAGGCAGCTTATGAGTTTAGGGTTTTGGTTTAAGGGCTGATGGGCGAATCAAGACATTGCTGCTGAGCTGTGGCGGTGCGGGCGGGACGCCACAGAACATGCTGGGAGGAATGACATGAACCTGCTGATCTGAAATTAAGCTGCTCGGCCACAAGACCATTCTGACACTCTTGGTGCTTCTGAGCACGATGCACCCTACTTCGAAGCTCGATCCCTCAAAGTGGGGCTGCTTAACTTGTCTCTGTGCGCATCTTGTCCCGGCAACTCGAGTGTTGCAGTCCGCAAAAGTCAAGCCCCGGTCTTTGGACTTCGGTGAACCACTCACTACCCCCTCTACACCCTGAACCCTGAACCCTACTGAGCCTGACCTGCAATACGTCGTCTTCGCAAGCCTAAGCCCAAAGACCCCCAAGTCTTGAACTATCTTGAGCCCTACATCCCTCCAGCTTCGGTTGCTGCAGAGTAGTTCTAGATGGCATCGGGAAAAGTTGTCCGGGAAACTCAAGAGCCACGCACTCTCGCCGGAATGCCTGGCGTATGTTCGCTGCATCGCAACGACTAACCCCAAGCGCATGAGCAATGCTGACTCCGAGACGTTGTGCCAGCTCCAGAAGCAGAACCCTTCACTGAGAAGCCACACAGAAGGCCTTCCATCAGTGCAAACTTCTGCAAGCTCTCGAAAACGCCTGCCGTTCGTTGCTAGACACATGGGGATGGATGGCGGGAGATTTGGATCTTTACAGTGCGCTGGCTAGGTAAGGAGGGCAGTCGGGGTGTGGGTGAGGCTTGTGTGGAGCCCCGACATCGTGGTTAGAATACAAGGCAAGCACGATGATGATAGTTGTAGGAATATGGGAGTTTCTGAAAATAGGGGACCCTGATATAGCACCCTAAATAGTAGGATCCTTCTTATAAGGACCCCAAAACAAGGTGCCCCGAATTTTCGGAAACTCCCATATCAACAACACTGTCAATGTAAGTGCATTCAACGGCTTACTCGAACCCTCTTGGAGGTTCATGGGTAGTTATATGTAGGGTTATAAGTCCCCTAATATGGGTTATAAGTATAGTTATCCTACTTATAACCATACTTATAACTACCCATGAACCTCCAAGTAGGGACCCAGAGCCACACACCCTGAACCCTTAGCAGTACAAGCTCAGATCCATTATCGGTCTGGGACATTTTCAGGTGGGTAGTTAACCCTATTTATAACTACCCATGAACCTCCAAGCTGGCTGCAGGTTCGCAGAGGAACTTCCTGGAGGATGCCGGCGGCCAAGGCATCAGAGCTCACATGGTTTAGGGTCTAGGGGTTTAGGGGTTTAGGGTTTAGGGTTTAGGGTTTTGGGGTTTGGGGTTTAGGGGTTTAGGGGTTTGGGTTCAGGGGGTTTGTGGTTCCGGGGTTTAGGGTTGAGGGTTTAGGGTTCAGAGCTCACATACTTATTGGTTGGGGTTTGGGGTTCAGGGGGTTTGTGGTTCCGGGGTTTAGGGGTTTAGTGTTCCGGGGTTTTGGGTTTAGGGTTTAGGGCTCACATACTTATGGGTGATTGTCAAAATTAGGGCCCCTTTTGGGGTACCCTAAATATTTGGTGCCGTATTATATTACGGACCCAAAAAGGGACCATAATTTTGGCAACAACCCTTATGGTTGGGGTTTGGGGTTCAGGGGGTTACTGGTTGCGGTCGATTACTTCGGCTTTAGGCATTTGGGTGTTGGGGTTCCACGAGGGTTTAGGGTTTAGGGTTCAGGGGCGGTGCGGTTCAGGGGTTAGGATACAGAGTGTTCCTATACTTGCGCATCGTGCACCTGAACCGTAGACAGAATTGCAAATTGCATCTGGGTCGTGTTCACTGAACCTCCCAGACCCAGGTTATGGGAGTTTCCAAAACTTGGGGTACCTTATTTTGGGGTCCTTATGATAAGGATCCTACTATTTAGGGTACTAGATTAGGGTCCCCTATTTTCTGAAACCCCCCTTGTAAGACTTAAGATGTCAACAATTGGTGGTAGACCAGCTTTACGGCACTAGGATGAACAGCTGAAGGTTTTTCTGTGGTTTAAGAATTTGAGGTCTAGTAGGAGTTCAACGATCAACATCAAATCTGAGTCTCGAAAAGCAGCAGCGAGGACATAGCCAAGTAAGCCAAAATCCAGGAACCGCTCAGAGCTGTGTGGGTTGCGGACATCGACATTTCGCGGAAATGCCGATCTTGCTTGGGTAGGTAAACCCTGTTTCCAAGCCTAAAACCAACTCCAATCCTGAGCGTCTAAGCCTAGTCCGTATTGTCTGCATATGGAAAGGACAGAGCTAGACTGGCATTGCAGCGGTCACAGGACCTGGGCTAACTCAGACTTTGTCTTGCGGGCAGGTTTTGTCCATGTTAAACCTTAATCAATCCTGAAGCCTAAAACCCATAGCCCCTAAACCCTAAACCCGTGTAGACGGTCGAAGGCTTCGAGTCTGTTTCTAACTCAGGCCCTCATCCGTAAATCTGAAACCTAAGCCGCAACTCCTGCAACCGAGACCCGATTCCGAAGGGGCAAGCTGAAATAAGATGTGAAACGACCGGTAGGGTTTGCACAGTTTTGAGTTTAGGGGTTGGGGGTTAGAGCTTTTGAGGTTGGGGTTTAGGGTTCACTGGAATCTCTGGTTGTTGTATCACTTTCGTACGGTAGATGAGGGCCTGATGTTGGCATTGGCAGTAGGGTTCAGCCTGAATAGCATATTGAAGGTTAGTGTTTGTAGCAAACAGCCTTAACAGTTTTTTGAAGGTTAGTGTTTGTAGCAAATGGTGTCGGGCTAAGGGTCTTCATCTGATGGGATAGTGGCCAGAGAGCGGAAGTTCGACTTTGAGGATGTGGGGTTCTGGGTTAAGGCTTCAACCCAAAAAGCATAAACCTTAGGCCCTAAATGCCCAACAAGCTATTGAAGGTAGCAGGCGCTACACAAAGCTCTATACCGGCCTTTTCGGTGGTGCCCTGGCAGGTGAAGATCGCGGAATGCAGGCTTGGGCTGGATTTCCGCTTGCTCGAACGAGTCGTGCGATGTAAGGTTGGACGAGGAGATTCGGTTTAGGGCTTTGGTGTTGAGGCTTCAGTCTAGGACATTTTCAGGTGGGTAGTTACTGTTATAGGAGCATTATAGAAGGTCTATATACCTTATGGAAGCCTTATAGAGGCCCTAAAGACCCTAAACTCCCACCTGCAAATGTCCTAGACTTCAGGGTTTAGGGTTCAGGGTTCAGGGTTTAGAGATCAGGGTTTAGGGTTTAGGGTGGTTTCGGGTTTGGGGTTTAGGGTTCAGGGCTGTTTACGGGGGATTTGCATGCTTAGTAAGATTATTCCCTGGGGTTCCTTATGTTAGATTGGGTCTGATTCTACTTGTTCACATCCCTATTTTGAGGGTTTGGGTTCTTATTATAGGGCTAAGGATTCACAGCAACATTGCTGCATCTCGGTGCTGCTACTACTTCGGCGAGCTGAAACACGTCCTACCTTAAATAAACCCGAAGCCCCTTCACCCTAAACCCCGAAGCTCTTAACCCAAAGCTCTCTTGCCCGAGTAAGCATCAAGCCCTCAGCTGAAAATTGCCTTACCCTAGAACCCCAAACCTTCTAAACCTCTAAACCCATAAGGGACGTTCCGAAAATTGGGGGGGGGGGGGGT